TTTTATTAAAAAAATTTACCATTTTGGCGCCCTACTTTGTGAGCGCACCCTGTATAATTCCAAATATTTTTAAAATGTCGAGAATATTCAACCATATCATAATACAAAAGCACTCTATCGAAAAATCTTATCTTCAAGGCATTGAGTTACTCCGTCGATTACTACCTAATTGGCCCAGTTTTAAAGTTGAGGATTTTAATTTGTTTCTTGGTAAGACTAAATGCTAGCATGCGTTGTTTATAGGAGTTATTAGCCAAAAACTGAAGAAAATCTGAAAATTTCCAAGTCTTTGGAGACCCAAAAGATATGCTCAACCACTGGAGGAGTACCCCTTGGATTATAAAATAGGTATACGATTCAAAGATGAAATTTCATATTTAAAGAAACGAGAATTAGAAACTATTTTTTCGTGGGCATAATAAAATAATTGTGGTACTACTTTTGTACATTAAAGGCAGATTTCACCCCTCGGACAGTTGCTAAACGAATCCATCTTAAGACCTTCTGCAGAGGCCCCTCTAAATAGCATTATGCGGGTCACTCTGTAATTGGGCGCATGCCTGTTGAGGGCCCAAAACAAGAGAGGGATAATAAAATAAAAAAAATAAAATAAAATTAAATAAAATAAAAACGAATGCAAATTATTTTGTTAGTACTGAAGATGAATCTTAACGTTTTAAGCAATATGGAAATTTAAAAGTATTTATTTCGCACTTTTTGACGTTTTAATTATTTTGTTAGATGAATTGTTGGAACCCCTGACGAGGAAAAACGGATGTGCATTGTAAAAAAATGGGAAAAGTGAGGCCTTGCGTATTCCTTGCATAAGTTTATTTTTAACAAATGCTTTTTTCTCCAACCACCTGAATAAGACGCTATTTTGTGACAGTGTTCGGTACCTAAAATTGACGTTTTGCGGATTAATCGCTTTCACCATGGCAACTGTACAAAAAGTCGATACTTTTGGTCCTAGTACCAAAAAGAAATTGACCTTGAAAGTTGGCCAATTAAAAAATTACAATCACGGAGATATGTCACATTGACATCGTTTTACATTGCAGGTTGTAAGATATTTCTATAGTACATACAAATCAAATATTTTTGCAGATTCAATGCAAATAATGATGTTACCTATACGAATGTACATGTATTGAAAATTATTCCGTGAACGTAATTTTAATACGTAGACAACCCGCCGTCGCGCGTAACGCCATCTACTTCAGACCCATTGCACTATTAACTGTCATTTTGAATTCAAAATTTGAAAAAGTTAATTGCAATTAATTTTAATTAAAAAACTGTATGGTAAGTTTTTTATTTCAATACAAAATATAACAATATTAATTGTGTATACAATAAAATGACTGAAACTGATAGCGACATGGATTGCACTCCGCCAGAGATTATAGAAACGGCAGAACATGCTACCTCAAGATTTGCTCCCTACAAAGTCGCGAGAGGTGAGAAGTAGAGGTAAAAACGAATAGGTTATAAGTTAACCTAAAAACTAGAGTGGTATGACACGTGAGGACAAGAAAGCAGAAGTTCTTATACTATAGTAGTGAAACGGTAACTGAATCTAAATTCGAATATAATTTGAAGTAAAGGGGGTTGGAGAAAAAATTTTATGTTTTATTCGTACAAAAAATGCGTTTTCGGGACTCGGAAGGTTGCTGGACTCCGCTAACGCGTCGTCCAGCAACTCTCTTCCTCGTCCCGAAAACTGACATTTTTTGTACTAATGAAACAAATAACTATTTGTTTGTAGTAGAAATGGAAAAAAACTATGAAATGTTAATTTTGAGTACAGAGTTTTGAAATGAGAAAATATGGGTTGATTATTTCACATAACTCAACTAATTGCGTTAAATTTTAACATTGAGACTTTTCTGATAGGAAGTTTTCACACCTAGGTATGAGAAGACAAGTTAGTTTTCGAAAAACGTTATAAAACGTTGATTTCATTGTGCCCGTATTTAGTTATTTTCAAAGACAATTATTGTTGTGTAAATAAGATCGAAAAAGGTGAACAGGTGAGCAACTGCTGCGCGATAACGAAGCGATAACGCCAATTCCGAACGGTTATTAAGAAACCTGTCATTGGCCAAACTTGTTATCTACTAAACACACCACCTAACATGATTGAGCATTTTGTGGTAGTGGTACTTGGTAACTAACGCGGGAATGTGTCTTTTCGTGCTCAAACTATTGAAACACAGTGGAAAAGGGCCGTTTTCGTTTACGAAAAACCGAGTCGATACCTATTTGCAGAACAGTGGTATTAGTGATCATACGCGCGTTATTGCAAATTCGTGGAAAAATGCAAGTGTACTTCGGTTGCTGGAGGCTGGACAGTGGACCGTGCATCAACGATATCAAAGGTATTTGGAATTGGAATATTTTTCTAATTTAGCGGGTCAATAATTTATATGAATATTATTAGGATGAAATTTAGTAGAAATTTTAGAAAAAATTCTTAGCTTCTGGATGCGAATTTGAATTCCAGAATTAAAAGTAAAAGCGTTGAACTCGTTGTGAATTGACTTTTTTAGCTTGAAGCTAAAGCTGGAGCTAAAAGTATCTATCTATCTATCTATATCGAAAACAAAAAAGAATATCAAGAAGTGTATAGGTATAAATCGAGCGAGCAAACTTTGATTCTCCTGCTCCCTATAAATCATCCTTACAGTTTTCAAATGGTAATTCTTGATGTGTGATGCCTTATTGGAAAGTTATTTAAAAATGCCTTTCAATGGTAACTTATTTTGCGGTGTTATTCCAGAACTAAAAGTGTCAGTACGGGTTCCTTATAGTTTTCTCTCCGCATGTTTCTTACGTGTCCTTATTTTTATAACGTCAATAGCTATAGTTTTGCTTATTGACGGTGTAACAAAGAAAGCTGAAAGTTGCTATCGTTGCTGCACATTCAGAATTAATTGAGTCATAAGCAAATGGGGTTTGTTTTGCTGGTTCAAAATCGGTTTTTATTATTCCACGATTACAATTCAATTTAATTTACAATCTCTTTCCACAAATCAGGGTGTAGCACCTATACCTAAGACCACTCTGATAATAATTCCTTTATCATAAAAGATACCAAAAAAAGTCTTCGTGCAAAATTGTATACAATTACCGCTGCCCTATTTCTAAAATATTTTTGATCATCAGAGGTGTACTGTATTCCAGTGGCGTATCAAACTTGCGTTTTTTTTTAATGGAACTTTATTACTAATTTGGAATGTGCTTGAAAAGTACATGTTATACCCCTAACTTTAACGGTTTCGCTGTTCGTCAAGATGTTTTTTGAGAGAAACTAAATCGCACAGGCGGCATTTTGAACTGTTTTGAACTGAGTCCACAGTCACATAAATTTTTAGCGTAACACAACGAAGTTGAGGTAAAGCTTATGTGCTCGTGTTTCCTTCCGTCCGTCCGTTCCATCGAGATCTCGGCCCCTGGGCCACCTAGAGACTTCGGGTTTTCGCTAATTGATAGCTGTTATGGTCTATATTTGTCCATTTCGATCAGTTTCATTTAACTCCATATTTTGCGCAGCGCAGACTGCGCAATGCCAACATTCTTATTTATGGAGATATTTCTTTGAAATTTTAACAACAGATGCTTCTAGTAAAGGCAAACATTTCGCACATAGTGAAAATTATGTGGACATGCGCAGTGACTGCACAGACTGCTCATAGCCAACTTTCTTATGTGTGGTAAGTTCTTTGAAACTTTATTTTACTTATTTAACCCCTCTCTTTCTCTGGACGTGAACGTACTTCAATATGCAGATTCGACATTTTGTGTGCTTTCGATGACGATGCATCGTTTCAATACTTTGTGTTACGCGGCAATACCCACGAGTGGGTTTTGGAACATTTTTTAGGTATACTTCATAAAAAAAATTGAATGTTTGATAGATCGTCGCCAAATGTCATATTTTTTTAAATTTCAAATGGCACCCCGCTAACAAATTATACCTCTGGGTAGCCAAAGCTACAAATTTTCCACTGATATAAAGAAAACCACTCATTCCATAAGAACATTTTAGAGAAAAACCAAGGCCAAACGCCAATTTGTAAAAGAAAACGTTATTTTCCGAACCCAAGTGTGCCATGATGAAACAAAAGATGTTCAATTGTCACAATTAACATCAGTAAAGTGTCGGCAGTGTATGATGTTTTTTAATCAACGTTGCCAAAATGTCCCAAACTCAAGCAGGAATTTTTGATATAGTGTTTATTCTTAGAAACCGTTCCCGAAAGTTTGCTGGCGTCATTTGTTTTCCAGACACTGTACTGTTAATTGCGAGAATTGAACATCTTTTGTTTCATCATGGCATACTTGGGTTCGGAAAAAAACGTTTTTTTTTTTACAAATTGGCGTTTCGACTTGGTTTTTCTCTGAAATTTTCTTATGGAATGTCTGGTTTTGTGAAAAACAAAAGTATAATTTGTTTAGGGGGTTGCCATTTGAAATTTTAAAACAATATGACAGTTGGCGAAGGTCAATCAAAATAGTTTTTTGTGCAACCAGTTGGGAAAAGCATTATTTTTCGTAACGAACGAACCGAGTTAGCCGCCCCTCTCCGCAACCTCCCCAATCCACAAAATCCGCCACATTGTTTGGCATATGTCGCGACCCCGCTCAATGGCAACAAAGTGGTGGAGATGCACCCCTGTTAGTTGCTACCAGGGACACATCCCCACGACAGTTGACTAAATTCTGGGAGAGGCGGCTACGCCAGGCATATGCCAAAGTATCAAAATCCTCAGTAAGCAGTTGCACAAAAATCCACTAGATCTCATACCGAGATTGATCACTCCCCCTTAGTCAAAAATGGTGTAATGTGCCCAATTTTCAATGTTGAAACTGCTACCAAGCTTTGGCAACTTGTACCCCACTTACTTCAGGCACTTTTGAAGAAAAAATCAGCTTGTGTACTTACGATTTCAGACACTTGAAGGTATTTACAGTAAGGAATAATAATGTGAACATTCGAGGATTTATTGCTATTTATTGAAATACGACGTTTAACAGCTACGTACTGTTCGTTAATCCTGTCTCTTATAGGTAATAGGTAATAAAATTGCACAACATTCAAAAATAAAATATGTTACACGTGAACTATGTTCGTATAGTCTACAACCACGTCATTTATACGGAAGTAACTCTTATCACTTCATACAGCCACTTTGAGGTTCTTATACTTTATTGCTTCGTTTGCTGACATCTCCGTCGAAATCAGTCAAAATTGTGAACACACAGACCCGCGTCAATGCGGCGCATGCGATTGGTACGAGGCAACATCCAAACCCGCACGAAGAACGGCCTGACTGGCGAACACCCGTCCGGCCAAATCACCAAGAGCCCTTTCCAACTGCTGATGTTGGCTCCTAACCGCGAATCTATTTACATGCACCGGTATCGGAACCACTAATTTACTCTTGTTCGGTTGACCCGTTTTCGACTGATGCGGACCGGCTGCGAGGCCGGCCTTCACCCTTTTCCATTTCGCCCGTCGATTTTGAAACCATATTTTCACCTGCACCTCGCTCAAACGTAACGCCGAGGCGATTTGGCTACGCTCTGTTAAGGATAGGTACTTTTTCGCGTGGAATTCTCTTTCGAGCTCTAGAAGTTGTTCGCTCGTAAACGCTGTCCGTCGGCGGCGGGTTTTCGTTGAGCCGGCACCTCCTTCGCTCGTCGCGTCCGTGGGGTGGCTGTCATCAAGTTCTTCCTCGATGTCGGAATCTGAAAGGAAGGTTACGTGTTAGTCGCCGCAATCAAAATCGTATTTATCTTTGAGTTAGGAGTAGAAGCCGTTCCTCATCGTTTTGTTGTCGTTTTTTTACGGCATTTCTAGAAAACAAAATACGCTATTATATTCGTTATGACTGGCTGGCTGGCTGTCCGACTGAGATCTCAGCAATTACAATAGCTAGAGACTTCAAATTTTCGCTTAAAGGTTTCTGATATAGTATAGATGTGCAGGATCTAGTCTATTTTGAGTTAGATTACTCGTGAGATCGATAAAATGACAAATTTATTTACATATCTGCTTGTGTTCGTGGTTGATATGCAGATATAATAGACAGATTTATTAAGTTAAGCAGAAATATACCGGGTGATGTCTAACGCGACGCAGCATAGGTAATTTCTTTATAGTCAATTACTAGCTCCCCAAAAATACTGCATCTGTTCATACTATTACTTATCATAAGACTGTTCCTCGGCCATATTTCGAGAACCGTTCGTCATATGACTTAGGGATAAAAAAAATTATTGGGTAAATCGGTCAGGAAGAATCGCTGGAAAATATTTTCAAATTCTAAAAATGACCAACAGAGGGCGTAACTGCCATCTTAAATTTTAAAATTGCATTTTCTTTAAATTTCGCATAATAAACTAAACAATTTTTTTTCATATTTTTAAAGAGAACCAGTTTATCTATCATTTTCGTAAACCAAAAACTCACTTATTTCAAAAACAAAGATGGTGTGGGGCGTTCAATTGTTTTTGCAATACCCTGCTTTAACTTCTTAACCGTTTGACCGATTGTAAAAAATTTGGTATGGTTGAAAAGAGCAATCCTTGGGCAACAAGAATCAACAAATATAGTTAATTTAGTGGAATCCTTCTCCGCCAGGGGGCTAGTTTTGACACTATGATCCAAAATCCTAAAAAATCAAATGGAATGATACGACTTTTTCTTTATGAAAAAGTAGCCAAATAACACCCAAAGACGCCAGTGAAAACCGTTTTTCAAAATCTCGTTCCTAACTTCAAATATTGGGAAAATGAGATTAATTAATTAATCAATAAATCTGCGTAAATTGTATCTTATTTGACGTATTTCCGGTATTTGTCGATGGCGCGAAAGAAAAGCACCCTACACTTTTAGGTAGGCCTTGGAAAATTAAACAAATGAAACACGATGCATTTTGAAATAATAACAGCCGTAATTTGGAAATTATTCTGCTGTGTTTACATTCAGAAAGTGCAGTTTTTTTAATTTGTAACCTTTTCTAAAATGCCGATTTCTAAACAAGAAGTATTTCATATGCTGGCGATATATTTTGAGTATTTTCAAAAGGCGACCATCGCTGCCCACATCTTCTATTTGCGTTATCCGAATCGACCACGAACCATCGTCGCCAACATATTAAATTCTTCTTGGTTAGAAATCAGCATTTTAGAAAAGATTACAAATTCAAAAAACTGCACTTTCTGAATGTAAACACAGCAAAATAATTTACAAATTACGGCTGTTATTATTTCAAAATGCATCGTGTTTCATTTGTTTAATTTTCCAAGGCCTACATAAAAGTGTAGGGTCCTTTTCCAAACAATCTTTCGCGCCATCGACAAATACCGGAAATACGTCAAATAAGATACAATTTAAGCAGACATTATAAATCCATCTTCCTAAACATATTACTTGTTTACCCCTGACAGCCTTCAGGACTTCTGTTAAAGCATACCTGATGGATAATAGTTTCTATTCAGTCACTGAATTTTCCAGTCACGTTAAAATTAATTTAATTTCCTAATATATTTGTTTACGTTTGTCTTAGAATGTGTTGTTGTGCGTGTTATTTTATTACCTAATTATTATCTGGACGAGTGTAAGTGCAATTTATGCATGTTGACACAATAAAGTATTATTATTATTATTAAAGAAAAAGTCATAGGTATCATTTCATTTGATTTTTTTAGAATTTTGGATCATGGGATCTAAATTAACTATATTTTTCTTCTTGTTGCCTAAGGAATGCTCTTTTCAACGATACCAAATTTGTTACAATCGGTCAAACGGTTAAGAAGTTAAAGCAGGTTATTGCAAAAACAATTGAACGCCCTCTTTGTTTTTGAAATAACTGAGTTTTTGTTTTTACGAAAATTATAGATAAACTGGTTCTCTT